AAATTCTTTTAATTTATTTTATTGAATTTTATTATTTTAAAATTAATAAATTTTTAGTTTATTTTACTTTAAAATTGTTTTAAAAATAGTTTATTGAAAAATTATTCTTTTTAAAATTACCCTATTTTAAATCTGTTTTTAATTTTTTTCTGGTTTTAGACAACTCTATTTAAAAATTATTCTATTTTAAAATTATTCTGTTTTTATCTTCTTTTATTTTCAAATTATTTCAATTTTGAAGCACTCTATTTTAAAAGTATTTTCTRATGACTCTATTCTTATTTTTTCCAAATTGCTTGACTTTAAAATAATTTTTAAAATAGAATAATTTTGTTTTTAAGTTATGTATTTTTTTATTTAATTTCGTTTAATTTCATTTATTTCTCAGTGGGAGCTGAGTGCCATCCCTGGCTGTTCTGGGACTCCAGGAATGCCCTGGAAAGGTGAAATTTCTCATCCAGAGCTGTTCCCTTTCCCTTTCTGGGCTTTTTTKGGGCCCATTTGCCCTGTAATTAATCAGAACTAAATTAAGTCCAAGGAGGTTCTTTGGATCCGGATTTAATTGCAATAATTTTAACACCAAAAAGAGAATTCCTGCAGAGTTTTTCCTAAATTTCTCCCCAGTTTCTTTTGGCTTTGTCTGTGGGGTCAGTTGGGCACATCCTGCTTTCCTTTTACCCGAAATTTGAGGAATTGAGAGAAAAATGAGGCACTGAGGGAAAAATGGGGGTCAGAGGCTGAAAATCCCCTGGGGTTGCGCAGGATCCCAACGGGGTCTGGGAAAAGTTGGAGATATCAGGAACCGACTGCGGGATTGAGCAAAATTTTTATTGGAATTTAGGAAAAACCACAGGGAAAAGGAGGCGGGAGGAACCCAAATTCGAGGGAGGGGTGATCCGTGGGGGAGGATTTTAGGGGGAGGCATTTGGGGGGCACAGGAGGGGCCGAGGAGCTGTGAGTGACAAATCCATCCCGAGGAATTCCCGATCCCAGCTGGAGCAGGGCTGATTCGGCATTCTGAGCGCTGGAATGCTGCTGCTTGGGTTTGCCGTTAGTTGTACCTTAAAAACAAACCCCAAAGAGCTTCAGGGAATGGAAAACCCCACTGAAATCAGGAGTGGGATAGGGCAGAGAGGAGGAGCCACCCATTGGGAATGGCTGAAATGGGAAAAATCACCGGGAATGGCAATGATCCCAGCGAGGCGATGCTGGAATGAAGAGGAAAATGGGAGAACAAATCACGGAGAGGATGAAACGGCTCCTGCCCACCCCAAAACTCCAATCCCACCCCAAAGCTCCAATCCCACCCCAAATGCCTCAGTTTCCCTGACCTCATTATGAGGCAGCAGAGAATCCCCAGGAGCCATTCTGTGTCAGGGAAAGGGAGTTTCCATCCCTCCCACCCAGACTTGGCACCGGAGATTTCATGGAATTGCGGGATGGTTTGGGTTGGGAGGGATCTCAGAGCTCAAATGGTCCACACATTGTCATGGGAGGACATCCTACACCATCCCAGAGTGCTCCAACATGGCCTGGGACATTTCAGAATTCCAGGGGCAGCCACAATTTCTCCAGGAAATCCATCCCAACCCCTCCCCACCCTCACAGGGAGGAATTCCTGCCCAAAATCCCATCCATCCCTGTCCCAGATCCCTCTCCAGCTCTCTGTAGGCTCCCTTTGGATCAGGATTAGGGTGGTGGGAGGTGTTTCCAATCCCAATCCCGCCCCTGTCTCCGCTCCCGGCACCTCTTGGCGTTGATGAGCCAATGTACAAAGTCCTTGGCCTTCATCCTGTCCAGGTACCGCGTGAAGTCGCTGCTGAAGGTCCCCTCCGAGTGACGCTTGGCCTGGGAAGGGAAACTCCGCGAGTCCCGGGGTCCGAACAGCGTCCATCTGCTCGGGGWGGGAGGAGAAAAGGAAAAAAATCCTAGGGAAATGGGGTTTGATGGATGGCATTCTGCCACAGGGGGTGCCCAGGGTAGAGCTGTGCCCTCCAAACCCCGTCCCACAAAGGGTGGAGCAGTGCTTAGGGATAAATCTGGAATGGTTGAATATAATTCCAACAAATTAAACACGCAACCATTGTTTCAGTTTTGGGGGATTTGCAAAGACTGGCCTGGGAGTTCCTGGCATCCA